CACACACACACACTCACAGAATCACATGCTCAGTGTCCCACACTATAATCTACTTAAAGTTATAATATACATTTGGATGTTTATTTGCAGACACTTAAAATAGAGCTGACAAGACTGTTGCTGAGCTCTGTTTCTTTTTTTTTTTTTTTTTTTTCTTTCCAGAGGAAGATCACAATTCTGCTTTGGCTATATATATATACACGCTTGCTTTGCCAGGAAAAGTCGAACTGATTTGGAATTAAAGAAGTTCTACATTACACTAATAGTCTCTCGTTTTCCAGTCACAAAGGAGCTAGTTGGTAGAGAAGCAATTATTGTACTAAAGAAACTGAACGTTGTATTCAGGAAGGATGTTTCAAAGTCAAGCTTCAAAGCACCTCATGCATGTTGTATCACCCCACAATTACAGCCCAAGCTATCAATATACTCACTGGGGACCACTACCTACCATGATGTTGGCTGTCAAAGCAAAAGCCGCTCCCCATTTAAGCTTGTTTGTTTATTTCACTATCAACACCCCAGGGTCATCCGTTCAATGATATGAGATTAACCTTGCATTTGTGGTCTGATTTGCAATGCCTCACGGTGGAGCATGCATGCACATTTGGAAAATGGCTTTGACCTTAGCGTGCAGGCCTTCTCCAATCCCAAACTATCCACTTGAAATTAAAATGCATCTTCCCCCCAAATTTGAGTTTGAGTTCTCAGCTGTTTCTACGAAATCTACTAAGCTCCACAGGTGAAGCCATAGTATGGAATAAACATCAGTTCTTCAGTGCAGAATCATCTGAGATAGTCTCAAAAGAATAAGCAGGGAGCAGGCAGATTTACTGTTTCAGCCTTACAAATAATCAGAAAATAATCAGAGAATTATCGCTTTGTAAAAATCTTTAGCTCTTTGCCATATTCTTTTCTTTTCTTGCTCTTTTCCTCTCCCAACCTTCCCTGCACTTGTGCCTCTCTGAAGTGTTCCCCCCTCACCCCCCATTTTCCTACTTTCACTCTCCTAAGAACATAGCTTCTTGTTTGTTGTGTAGTAACCTACAATGACTGTTTAGGAGTAGTATTTTATAATTTTAATTATGTTAATTAACCCAGACAGACTTTTACATAGTGGAATTGGCCTCTGAGAGGACTGATCAAGAGAATTCCTTGATAGAGGCAAACAGACTAAGTTCTGTGGCACTCAATCCCCACAGTTTGGCCCTTTCTAGTTATTTTATGGTTCCTTTCCATCCACAATTTCTGAATCTGTGAATTTGCTGAAACCTCAAAATCTTTCCAGTATGGTTCCTATGGCAGCAAGTGTAGGTGGGATGAGGCAGAGAGACCGACTAGCTCTTTATTCTGTTGTTCATATTTGTGGATTGCTTGGGACAGTTTCACGCTAAGCAAGCAATTTCAATACTTCAAAATCTTTTTATATTTGACTTCCATCATGATGTGCACTTAACAAGACCATTTTTGTGCCAGCTCTGTGGACATGCTCTTTGTACCTGTAACCTTCAGTTACACAAGTCACTATGGGTATATATATGACTGGATTTGTAGCCTGAAAAACACAATACTTGTTTCTGAGGATAAAAATGGGCATTGTGAGGCCCTCCCTGGTGGCTCAGCGGGTTAAAGCACAGCACTGAGAAGCTAAAACCACTTCCGCATGAGTTCGATTCCCGCCTGCCCCGGAGGTGACCACATGGCATGGCAGACCTCTCCTGACCCGCCCGCTGCTCCCCTCAGCAGTGTACTTCATCGATCTGCCTGTTCTGCTCCCCACTCTGTTCCTGGTGAATCCTCTCACCCTCCCGCATCTCTGGCCTGTACCCCAGTTCTGTATGCACAAATAAATAAATCTTTAAAAAAAAAAAAGGGCATTGTGAAGTGATTCAGACACTGATTTTGTAGTATCCTTTTTTCCCCTCATTTTTTTTTTAAGATTTATTTATTTATTCGTACAGAACTGGGGTACAGGCCAGAGATGCGGAGGGTGAGAGGATTCACCAGAGACAGAGTGGGGAGCAGAACAGGCAGATCAACGAAGTACACTGCTGAGGGGAGCAGCGGGCGGGCCAGGAGAGGTCTGCCTCGCCATGTGGTCGCCTCCGGGGCAGGCGGGAATCGAACTCATGCGGAAGTGGCTTTAGTTTCTTAGTGCTGTGCTTTAACCCACTGCGCCACCAGGGAGGGCCCTCCCCTCATTTTTTTAAAATTCCAATTTTGAAAGGTTCAGGGCAGTTGAGTGCTAGTCAGGTAAAGTTTGCAACAGTCAGGAACTTTATTGCGCTCCTTGGCTAGGTTCACCAACCCCACAGGGGGTCAGAGAATTCACGCCTGTTGGAGAAAATGGTAAGCTTTTATAGGGCATGGAAGCTGCTTTTCAGAAACTGGTTCATCAACCATACTTATCAGTTCCTGAAATGCAGGCAGCTCCCAGAACTAAGGAGGCTCAGGGCTAGGAGGCTCCAGGCATGCAGACAGTAACACGCCCAGATTTAAGGTTCCTGCCCCCAGCCTTGCCCCGACCTTACAAATTTAACTGTGGTCAAAAAGGTCCTTTATTGACAGAGACATCAACTACTCTTCATTGTTTAGTTTTATTAAAATATCTTAGTTTTAGTTTAATATCTAATTTAGTTTTAGTAAAATATCTTTGAGTAAAGATTTATGTGTTTTTTTTATTAATGTGTAAAGAAAAAAAGTCATGTTCACGGTACAATACTTGCTCCCAATATGAAGACACATATAACTGAATAACTGTTTTCTCTTGAAGACATTTCCCCTGTATTGCATAATTCTTGTTCTTTATTATTTCATCTCTTACAAGACCATCACTGTGGGGCCTCGTAGATTAAGGATAACTATAGAAGTTCGAAATTTCAAGCTTATCAACTAGCAAGTGCTACAC